CCCCCCCCACCCCCCCGCCGCCCCCAGACGACCCCATCCCAGGATCCCGTTATTCTGGGGAGTCCTTGGAGCCCCTAACCGCCCCACACTCTTCACTTTCCTTCCCACCCGTTCATCCTCTGTCCTTCCCACGGTGTTTCACACATGCCCTTCTCTTCATCCCGTCACCCCTAACTAGGTCTGGTGAGGGGGGCTGGGGTGGCGGGAGGAGGGGCAGAAGTGGAGGAAGGATAGGAAGGATGTTACCTCTTCTGTTACTTAAAAAAAAGTTGTTTGGTGGCAGCAGTCTCCTTGCCCTGTCACTGTTAGAGGCCTAATTTTATATCTATAAATATATTAAAAAGCAAGTCAAACTTGGATGTAGCACGTTAAAATTCTTGTCAGTTTGAATACCTGTATGTCCTCCGTGACTGCAGGGAAGGGACTGAAGGTGGAGGGTGGGGGTCCTGCCCTCGCAGTCACACAGGGCCCAGCCTGCCCTCTGTTTGCGGCCACCAGAGATGGGGGCCGACCCCTGGGGTTTTTGGAGGCTCCAGAACGGAAAGATCCTCGACTCTGCCCTTCTCTGCTTCCTGCCGCGGTTGCGGGGTTGGGAAAACGGAGTTCCTTTCAGTTCTTTGCCCCAGATCTCCTACCTCTCCTTGGGTCTTGTGGGTGCTCCCAGGATGCTCTCCCAACCAGAGGCTGGCCCGTCTTTAAAACTTGACTGAACTGTGACTTCAGGAAGGTTCTGCCACTGCAGACTGTCTCTCCTCATACTGTACGTGACAGAGGACACGCTCACTCTTACCTGTAGCTGCTTGATTCTCTAAGCCACCCACCCTGCCCCAGCAGCCCCCTTCCTCGTGGGAGGAGAGTATAGCAGAGAAAGGCCTCCTGGGGTGGCCTCTCCAGCTGGTCCACCTCTTGACATCTTGCGACTGAGGGACAAATCGTTAATCTAAGGATGAAGATAGCTGGGGCTTGGACACCTGTCTCGTCACTGGTCGCTGAGTGAAAGTCCTAAGTTGAATCTTTGCCCTTATTGCTTGTGCTGCTATCCACCC